ACACAAAGGAAGCAACTGCTCACCGTCGTGAGGCAGTCTGGCCGCTTGGCATCCAAGCCACCTACTTGGTCTTCCCCGGCACTCCTGGCGCGGCAGCACGCCTGAAGGGGCGGACTTCCCTCACCTTCCCAGCCCCCTCTCCTCTCACGAGAGAGGAGTGGGGAAGACAACGGACCAACGGCATCACAAGCACCGACGGCGGTGGAGGGAAAGTGGTTTGATTTGTCGTATTCGTGCTCGTGCTACCGAGCCCACTGCCGAGTTATGGGCCCAGAGTCGTTTGGACTGGGTTGAGGGTCCTGTGTGAAGGGGGTGTAGCTCAGATGGTAGAGCGCTCGCTTAGCATGCGAGAAGTACGGGGATCGATACCCCGCACCTCCAGTTCATATTTTTAATCTCAGAATCAGATATATTTGTGCTCTCCACACCTCACTGCAGCTGTTTGGGTTGACCGATTTCGATGTTCCTATTTTGCGCCTAGGGCGCACAAATATTATTCCGCTATCGTTTTCCACCCTGACCGTTCTCAAAATTCGCAATAACACTGGAGGAGATCGAGCTAGAAGAGCCTAATGCGGAGCCGCTGGGTTGAACAGATGCCAGTCGAGTTACCCGCTTTTGGCTCATAATCTGAAAGCGTGCCGCCAGACCTATCAATTAATATCACTGTGAAAAATATCTTCGTGCAAATCTACAACCTTTATTGCCTTTTTATGAACGTTGTACATTTGCGACAGCCCGTTTTTACTTGTCGGTCAATTCCAAGTCAATACGAAGTGCTTGTAAATTTATAATCTCAAATTGTACTACTGCTTTTACGACACACATCATACGGAAATTTTCCCCGTAAACCTTCGACTGTTATTTTCGCAGTGGTCGATGTACTGCTTGTGAAAATCATAAGCGGTTTTAGAGGAGGTGCGATTTCTTCCCTCCCCCCAATCACTAGGCCAGTGTATTACGAGTACGAGATGCCTGGACGCAAGCCGCAGACATGGCCGATATCAGACTAATAATGCCACTCAAATTTCCCTTTTTATATTAGTTATCTGAGCTACGCCTCCTGTTGAACACCGTTGTCACAGTCCTCGTGCTGAAAGACCATCGGCCAGTCGTGGCCCACCGCCCCACTCTACCGCACGCCCCTCGTCCGTCCGCCCCACACCTCCACACTTCCCCTACCCCCTGGCCTTTTGGGCTGCGGTATACTTTCCCAACCTGTTCTGGTTTCTGCTTCAGCTTGCAGTATGAACCGCGCGGAATCAGTCTCTTGCCAAGCGGTCCGTTGGTCTAGGGGTATGATTCTCGCTTAGGGTGCGAGAGGTCCCGGGTTCAAATCCCGGACGGACCCGTCACATTTTGCACGCGCTTCCTCACATTTTGAGTTCTTCGGATATCCTTTCGAGGAATCAAAAAACGAACATTTGCTGCTCCGGTATTAGCGAGGTCCGTTGGTCTAGGGGTATGATTCTCGCTTAGGGTGCGAGAGGTCCCGGGTTCAAATCCCGGACGGACCCATGTTCTTTTTTTCTAATTTTATTTTTGATGTAATACTAGTATAAATGGTTTTCTTCCTGCCTATACGTACCGGGTGTAACTGTGAATGCGCAGCAGTGTTGCGGGATTGCATACCCGCCAGGGCTGCAGGGGCCATGGCGCTTTTACCGTCGAATTGGGTAGGGGCTATGGCGCCTTACGGGTGATTTTGGTTGGGCAAACCCGCAACACTGCGGTGATTGCTCTGAAACACCAGGTACTCCCCCCCCCTCTTCACCCACTCCTATCAGCCCTAGAAGGCCGCCTTAGAGTTAGCCAATTTTCTGTACAAAGCCCTCCTGTATCTAGGCAACCCCCAGCGTATCGCCCCTTAGCATTGGTGTTCACCCCACACCTATTCTACTTTTCTTGAATCCTCCAGAATCTGTCTTTCCTCCGGAGGCTGCGCGTGGGTGGGTCAGGTCAGTATTCGAAGGCCGCTACAACGTGACCTAAAGACTGGCTTTAGAAAGTAGGCCACGTATTGTCTGCTGCCAGCGGGGAGCTCACTGGGTGGGGTGGGCCCCGGATCTGAGTTGGACCGGGAGGGGGACGGGAGGGAGGGGGAACACCGAAGGTGTTCGGATTCTTTAAAGATATTTCCTCCAGTCACTCCTCAGGACCGGGGGCGTAGCTCAGATGGTAGAGCGCTCGCTTAGCATGCGAGAAGTACGGGGATCGATACCCCGCGCCTCCATTTTTATGACAAACTCATTCATTAGTCATCCTTTTGCATACTAACGGCTCGAGGATATCTCACCCAAAGACTTGAAGTGAAGCGTCTATCTGAAAACGCCTGCGAAGCGGTGGGTAGTCAAACAGCTGCTCATGGACGCCATGCGGTGCGGTATCGGCAGCATCCAGGCGTCCGCCGCGGCCCGGCCGTGTCGCTCGGAGCACGGCTGCACTACGCATGCACTCGAATGCCTTAGGACCGAGACGGTCTCTGAATGTGTATTGGTGGTGACAATATTGTGTCAGAGCTCAGTTATGCACACAGAAGTCCGTCGCTAGACAATAATTGTCTTTAGACATTTAAATTGTACTTGTCCACGACCCCCCACTAGCAGTTTCACATATGGCTCTACCAGTATCCACATTCCACAATGATTCTAGATAATGCCAGTATTCAAGAATTTTTGGACGTGGCAGAAAAGTTTAGACCTTCAAACGTAGTCAGCAGTATACTGGCAACTCGTCAGTAATGCAGCCTAGCGTTCAAATTTTCAAGTTTTGTTTAAGCAGTTGCCGTGTTGCCCTCATAGAAAAAAAAATGTGGAGGCGCGGGGTATCGATCCCCGTACCTCTCGCATGCTAAGCGAGCGCTCTACCATCTGAGCTACGCCCCCCGTTGATCAACGAATTTCCTTCTTACGCTTATGAACCGCCGAATCGGAGCGCACGCCGAAAATGCTGCACCAGTTGCCCTGTTCCAGCTGATTGGTGGGATGAAGGTGGGGAGGGGGCCACTGGGCAGGGAAGGCCGTTGCCGTTACCGAACAGTCCCGCCTGTCCTGAGTGGAGGTCTGGGGGTTCCTTCAGCGGTGTGGAGCGTATTCTTTTGTGCGGAGGGGCGGCGTGCGTATATTAACCGGGGGCGTAGCTCAGATGGTAGAGCGCTCGCTTAGCATGCGAGAGGTACGGGGATCGATACCCCGCACCTCCACTTTTTATGAAGGAACTGTCATATTCGTGAATACTGCATGATTTGTAGTTCGTTTTTTGAAGTAAACTGAGTATTCTGCTATAAGGGGAAGATGCCCGACGATATTTGCTTTGACTTTTCGCAAATCATACTCAAATGATTTTTTCTCTCCAAATATGGAGGGATGGGGAAGTATGCTTGTATCCTTTTCTCTCCTATTTTGTTTTGAATGTGGCTTCTTCAGAATCTTGCTTTCCCAATATAAAATGCTATATTTTAAAAAGACATAATTTTGTTTTATTTAGGCCCGTCAAGTTAGCACAAGAAAGAGCCCCCAAAATGACATTAATAATTAGTAGTCTTTTTAATGTACATTTGTAAATCGTAAAATATTGTGAATTTGACACATCTTTGTGCCTTAGGATGCGATTGTTGGAGAATTTCTCATGGGAGAATGAAGAGCTCACTAAGGGCTCACTGAAAGAAGCACCTTGGATTTCAAACATCTCTCTTTCAAGCCCCACCAGTCTCTGTCCGAGAGAATCGTCCAGCGAAAAATAACCAGACATAGAATGTTAGTGCAACAATTCTGTTTTGAGATATTTGTAATGAAAAACTATAAAAAAAATTATGAATATTATTTTAAAAGTCATCTTTTTATTTATTTTTTGCGTGAAGCAAAACTTGCGATATCTACATCGTTCATTCGTAGTTTGGCTGGGTTGGTAGCATTTTTATAGCAGTCGACACTCGGTCGATTACGGTTCGATAGTTTATACCTCCATAAAATGTAGGTTATGTTTTTGTTCTGATGTTTATGTCGTTCCCAAGTCTTTAGATCGTCAGTCAAGATGAATGGACCTCGTCAAGCATTTTCGCTTTTGGCTCGGTGTGGAAGCGCTTTTCGGCCGAAGTTGCCACTTTCAAGAAGTGAGCTGAGCCGATGTTTCACTGCTGCAGAGCAACGACGCCCTTACAGCAATGACAGCCCCAGGGATTATGACAGTCTCCCACCGTTGCCAATTTCAAATCCCGTGGCTTTTATGTTGGATTTGGCTGGACGGAGTTTCAAGCAAATTAACTGGTGTATCGGTGAACAAAAGTTAGATAGAGATGTTGTCTTTACTACAAATGAATCTGCAGAACAGGTGACTTCCGCTCTCTTCATTTCTTCATTTCTGCTTTCACTAGGGTCCATTTTATA